CCTGGCACGTTTGAGATCCTGGGTTTATTCCCCAAAAAATAAAAAAAAAAAAAAAAAACACCCTCCATATAAGAGTCAAAAGTGGCAATGGGGGTGCAAAGAAACAGGCAGGAGTTGTTCCAAACTGACACTAATGGGGCATCATAACAAAATACAATGCATGAATCTCAATTTGATCCTAGATGTAATAAAAGACATTTTGAGGACATTTAGGGAGTTCTGACTGTGGACTTCATAGTAGATGATGATATGAAATTATTGTTAATTTCCTTGATAGTGTATTATGGTTGTTATGTAAGAATGTCCTTGTTTTTCAGAAATGTAAGTTCAAGTATGTAGAAGTAAAATGCTTGATGAAGTTGCATGATGTCTGCAACTTACATTCAAATGATTCCCCCCCCCCAAATGTATATGTATCTTTATGCATATGTACATGTATACATGTATGTATGTGATACTAATTTATACATATGTGTAAAAGATTCAGAGATGCCTAATATGGCAACATGTTAACAAATGGAGAAACTAGATGAGAGATATATGTGTTCAGTGCACTCTCGATTAAACAATTCTATGTCTGGAGTCCTAAATGAAGGCAAATATGAAATACAGGAGTAAAAACTTATGCACAAAACACTCACCACAGTATTATTTATCAGAGAAGTAAACAAAACTGGGATGTAGCTCAGTGATCAACACTTGCTTATCACGCACAAGGACTTGGGTTGGATCCCCAAACAGCGAAAAGAAAAGGAAAAAAAAAAAAACTAAACACAACCTTAAATGCCTAGCAACAAAAGAATGGCTCAGTAAATCATGATAAATTCACTTAACAGAATGTTACTTAGTATCTAAAAGTCTCCTATCTTAAATTTTAAGGGTTGCTAGTTGTGTTCTACTTGTTTTTATTTCTGTTTTCTATATTAAGCAAATACTATATATATAAAGCAAAATATTTTTTAAGGATTAGTAAATAGTTCATGCTAACCTAGTATATACTATCGATTGACTAGTGGAATGAGTAGATATTTTACACAGGTAAAATTAGACTATATTAAGTTTTATGAATGCACAAATTAAAAATTCTAAATAACCAAATAAAAATATATGTAAAACTTTAAGAGCATATAAAGATACGTTTAGTCTAATGGAAAAATGAAATGACCTAATTACCCAATTATTATGGAAATTATTATTCAAATAGTAAACTTTTTAATAATTTTAAATATGAAAATACTCAATTGGAAAAAACATTTTTTGTCATTTTCTAATGTAAATAAAAATTTACATTAGAAAATGACAAATCAGAGCTGGGGTTGTGACTCAGTCATAGAGTGCTCCCCTAGTATGCACGGGGCCCTGGGTTCGATCCTTAGCACCACATAAAAATAAATAAATAAAACAAAGGTATTGTGTCCAACTACAACTAAAAAATAAATATTAAAAAAAAAGAAAATGACACATCATTGGTAATTTCACCGATTATTCTAATAGTGAAACTCTAAGTGAGAAGGGCAATTTAGCATCTTTGGGGAAATATTTATTTCATGTTCTAAATAAAATTTATTTCATGTTTAAAATACTATTATTTGGTTAATAAAATATTGTACAGCATAAGTTACAGTCTTTTTTCCTCAAATAATTAAGGTTAAAAAATTTTTAATTTTTACAACATCTACAAAATTTCATTGGATATTACAATAGAAACTTAAGATTTTATTCTTAAGAACAGCATTCACTCAAGGCAAAATATAATCTAAACTTAGTATTTAAGATTACACATTTTGGTGGCAATACTATCAAAAAGTACTTAGAGATACATACTTAGTAAGCAGTACTATTCAGAAAAATAAAAGTAACTACTTGCTTGAAAGTGGAAGTTTCCAATTAAGGCTATTCCTTGCAGGCAGTGTGACTATAAAGGTACATTAGAACTTCTGGGGTAGTTTTCTAATTGGTACCTGAAAAATGGTTAAATGAATATACATGCCTTATAAAAATATATTAAAGATAATGAGTAATTCATTTAACTGCTTACCTTTATTCATTTTTTCGGTAAATTATATATTTGTCAGTAAAAAGGTAAAGGACACATAAACAGACTCAACAACATGTGTACCATTCCCATTATTTGTCCCTGGCTTTCTTAGCATCATCTAATTGGCCATTTATTAAAAGGTCCCTTTGTAAACTCTCTAAATCATTTCATCTCATTTAATTGCAATTATAAGGAAAATGATCCATTTATTCAGATTCTTCCAAATAAGCATTCTTAGAAAATAATAAATGTACTATATCTCCTCCTTAGCACTATTTTATATATGTGAAAATCTATAATTGCAGGAAAATTCAGTATAACTACATTAGAAAAAATCTGGTTTCAGAGGCTGGGGTTGTGGCTCAGTGGTACAGCGCTTGCCTAGCATGTGTGAAGCACTGGGTTCAATTCTCAGCACCACATATAACAATAAATAAATAAATAAATAGTCCATCAATAAGGCACAAAAATATTTTTAAAAAAGAAAAGAAAAAAATCAGGTTTCTTTTTGCCTATGAATAAAATGAACATGAATTATTTTTCTACAAAAGTTCAAATTATGTTAAGTTTTTCAACAAAGTAATTTATATTTACATTCAATGTATGTATAATTATGACTTAATTACATTACTTGGCTATCTGAGTTCATAAATCAGATAAAAACTTTTTTGAGACCTGGAGACCTACTTTTTTACTCTGGAAACACAGTTGGGATTAAAGCATTGTTTTCATTTCTTTTTTTCATAATTTTGCTTTAAGTACATTTTTACCTTCAAAAAATGGGCAATAAAAATTGGCTACTTTACAGAAAAGACTTATGAAAGGACAATATGCACACACAAAAAATGTTATTAATCTTATTTTTCTGTTATTCAAAATAAAGGGTTCTGTTTTATTCTGCTCTTAAAGGGAGGATGCCAGTAATCCCAGCAACTCCAGAGGCTGAGGCAGGATGGTTGCAAGTTCAAGGCCAAGCTTAAAAATTAAGTGAGGCCCTGAGCAACCTAGTGAGACCCTGTTTCAAAATAAAAAGGGTTGATGATGTGGTTCAGTGGTTAAACACCCCTAGGTTCAATTCTTGGCATTAAAAAAACCCAAAAAACAAAAGAGAGCAAAAAAGAGTCTACACTTTTGAGACAATAAATAGGCCAATACATGAGAAGATACTCAACATCAGTCATTAGGCAAATGGAATTAAAACCACAATGAAATATACTACTACCTATTTAGAAAGAATGAAGATAAAAGAGGCCAACAAGGTATGTGTGGGCAGAGGTGTAGAGTAACTGAAACTCTCCTACATTGTTTGTGTGAATGTAATATAACACAATCACTTTGGAAGACAACTTGTCAGTTTCTTACAAAGTTAAAAATGCACTTACCATATGACCCAGTGATCCAACTCCTAGATATCCAAAAGAAATAAAAATATGTCCACAAAAGCACTTGTATATGAACAGGTACAGAAAGTTTTATTCTTAAAATCTCAAAACTGGAAACAACCCAGTGTCCATAAAAAATGTTAATGGATAAAATACAATGTATTCATACAATGAAATATTAATCAGTAATAAAAAATGAACTACTTATACATACAACAACAACATGGACAAACCTCCAAAATATTATGCTTAAAGAAAGATGCCATACACAAAGATTAAACATACTATATGTTTCCATATATTTGCCACTCAGAAAAGATAAACCTAATCTACAGTGACATATAGTAAACAGTGACTTCATGGGACTGTGGTGAAGGGGGTGTCTTGGGGGAACAAATGGGAAGGAGAACATGAAAAGTCTTTCAGGCATTAGGTATGTTCCACAGACTGTAGTGGTGGTGGTGTTACCACAGAGTACACATCTATTAAAACTCATCAGAATGTACAAGTAAAATGCATATTTTGGGATTCATGATAGTTGAACAGAGATACCAGCATACACCTCTTCCTCCACAAAGAAGAACCAAAGTAACAAGTACAGAACTGCATTTTGAGGTGAGTGAATGTGAGAAAACACTGGAACCTTGTAAGAGTTAAAGTCCAGTGAAGACAGCACAGAAAGAAAAAAGAAAAAACACTGCTACCTGACACCCCAACTCCACAGACAACTCTTCATAAAGGTAAGGATGAAAAGGAGAGTCCTGGCAAACTCTATTAGTGTGGATGCTGGGTATCCTAACTACTGAAAAGTTCCATAGTCCTCAAAAGCTTACAGTCCACCTAGACAAGCAAAATAAAATGTATATAGCAGCTTGCTTTGTAAAAGAATCTCACATCATATTACAGTGAACCCCTAAGCTGCTGCAGCCAGGAGCCATACTGAGAAATGAGTTACTGTATTAATTCATGCTGCACTAGGGGTTCAGAAACCACTGCATATTCCTAAATCTGGGACTCCACAGATATTCCACTACACTGACTTGGAGGATAGCTACCTGGGACCAAACTTAACCCAGCAGAGTGAGTGACTCAAGACCTCTGGGGACAGGCATGGTGGGACACGCCTGTAATCCCAGCAGCTCAGGAGGCTGAGGCAGGAGGATTGTGAGTTCAAAGGCAGCCTCAGCAACAGCGAAGCACTAAGCTAAAATACAAAACAGGGCTTGGGATGTGGCTCAGCAGTTGAGTGCCCCTGAGTTCAATCCCCAGTACCAAAAAGAAAAAAAAAAAAAAGACCTCTGGGACCTATGCTGTAAGAAACAGGTAGTTGTGACAGATGAGAAGAGAAGGTGCAGCTCTCAAGAACCAGGAGATCAGGGTGCTTTCTTGCCTTCTGAGAAAAAGGGCATGGCCAGCCATGTGTACCCAACAGCTGGGTATAGACTTGCACCAGTGCCAGGACTGGATGCAGACATGCAGGCACACACACAGTTCCTGCCAGCCCTCCTGACTTTGCCATTCTTAGATGCCTGTTGCTGACAGGGCAGGAAGAAACCTGTTTGTTCCTGCTGCTCCATCCACAGGGATGTATGCAGAAAGCTCTGAGCTGTTCTGCAGCTCTGGAATCATCAGGCACTCGGAACATGAAGCCAAAGCAAACCAATAGGAACTGTGCCATGCCTCCAGTCACAGCCCCATTCTAAGTTCTATACTGCAACTGAAGGGGTCTAAGCTAAAAATGCACAGTTCCAGTCATTACCTCACCCCCAAGTATGCATTGCCACATACAAGGCTGAGAGAAAAACCAGTAGTGGAAGTCACCAACCAGGCCCCAAGCATACACTGCCACCAAAGCAACAAAGACAAACACCAAGTTCCCACTACCACCACATCTATTTGTTTCATACCATCATCCTGTCCCAGCATCTCATCTGACTACTCTTTGATGTCAGGGCTAGGATTGAATTCCACAGAGGAGGAGATGCTCCAGTTCCCATCATCACATCTGCCCATGAAATATCTTGACCTGCACCACTGACTGGCTAGAAGAAAAGTGCTTTAGGACCCTCACCATAAACGGAGCTGCCTGTGCCAGAGAACCTTTCCAGTAGAAGAGTTACTGTCAACAATGCCTCAGGAAACCTCTATCACCCAGGTGTAGGAATAGCCACATGGTTACCACCCCACACCCTCTGTTATCTGTACCACACCTTCCTGAGATGCTGTAGTTTCCTCACTCTTGAATGGCCCACAGAGACAGTGGATCTTTCCAACTAACCACAGAACATACCATGCCCAAAGTCATTCATCATAGTCAAAGAAGCTATGGGGAAACAACACTATGGCATTCAACTGGAAACAAAGTCAACACTATAAAACAAATGAATACCCCAAGATACCTCTTCAGAAGAAAGTCACTTACTAAAAAAGCTATCACCATTCCCCGGCAAGAAAAGGCTATCCCATAAAAGTGACAGAGATAACTGATACACCAAATCTCAATGTAGGAACATAAAAAATAAAAAAAAAAAAGATACTGTGACTCCCCCAAAAGAGAATAAATCCCTAGAAACAGATCCCCAAATTAATCAATAGAGACAAAACATTTTATAAAGAATTTTTATTAATGATTAAAGAAGGGCTGGGGTTGTGGCTCAGGGGTAGAGCACGCACTTAGCATGTACGAAGCACTGGCCTCAGCACCATAAAAAATAAACAAATAAAAATAAAGGTATT